TTTTAGAGAGAGTTGGAGTATAAAATTAAAAAAAGAAGAAATTTGAAAAAGTAATAACTTTTTATATTTAATAAAAAAATATTAAGAAGTGTAATAGATTAAATAGATATAAGTTAAAGTTGTTAAAGTGTATTAGTATTATATTGATAAGTGATTGTTGAATATTTTTAGTATTTTTAGAACATAGTAGTATATGAAAAGAGTCTTTAGTCAGAGGGTATTTATAGTATTTATTTGTTGTATATAGATTTGAATAGCAGATATTAAGATTTTGCATTATTGAAAGATTGTTTGTTAGGATTTTAATATATAAAGAGTATTTATGAGAGTTGTATTTTAAAGAGTTAAGTATTTTAAATATCAAATTCTAATTTATATCTAATATATAGTTATTAAGAAGTTTGAAAGATGATTAAGATATAAGTTTTTAAATTGTGATAATATTTTTAATAAAGAAGCATACTTTGAATATAATAATATAGTTGTTTTAAGAAAAGTAGGCAGAAAAGTTGAAGTATATATAAGAAATTGTTAAAAAGGATTTAATAAAGCCTTGTTTGGCTAACAAATCAGTTTAATTATAAAAAGAGTTGGTTAAGTATAATTTAACTTTAATAAAGTTAATAGAAATATTTTTAGTAGATTTAATAGAGTTGATAATAAAAATTATATCTTAGTATTTGTATTGAATAAGTTTGAGGAGGGAGATATTAAAGTTTTTAATTGCTATTAAGCTATTAGTTAGAATAGTAATAGTAGAGTTAATTAGAATAATAAGCAGAAGAGAAATAAATACTATTAGCTTAGAATGAGATAAGTCAGAAGAAAGATTAATTGCAGTATTAAATTTAATAAATTAGTTATTTTTACAAATGCAATCTATACTAGTTTGTATATTTGTGATTTGAAAATCTTAAATAAAGATATCTGTAGCAAATTAAAGATTGGTTGTATTTAAATTTAATATATCTGAATAAGCTGATATTAATAGTAAGAGGATTCAATAATATAGTATATTTAAGTATATTTTATAGAAGAAGATATTGATTTGTAGCTAATAAAAAAAAGAGGTTAAAGATAAGTTGTGATTATTAGCAATATCAATAATGCCAAGAATTTTTTTGTAATCAATTTGTAATAAAGATTTGTTAAACTTGATTTGCTTATATAGAAGATTTATAAACTTGAAGTTTGGTAATAAGTTGATGTTTTCTATTAAATTTGTTTGATCTTTGAGTAGTTCTTCTAGTTGATTAGTTTTATAGATTAGAGTTTGTTAGTATTTGTTGTAAAATAAGAAAACAATATTTTAATTATTAGGTAGTAGTTGAAAAAGAAAGCTTTTGTTTGAAGAAAGTATTAGATCAGTTATATTAATAAAGCTATTTATTAAAGACAGTTGAAGATGTGGCTATATAGTTTGAAGAGAATTGGTTTGTGTTATTTGTAAGAGTCATGTAAACTATATAGATTAATGATTTTTAGTTGTCTTGTTTATACAGAGATAGATATTGTTTCAAGAAAAAAAGAAGTTATTGTTTGCTATTGTGATTTGTTCTATAAATAGAATCTTGTTGTTTTTAAAACTATTAAGTGTAAGACTATTAGAGGTTGATAAAATGTGTATACTTAGAAATAGAAGTAGAAAATTTGTAATTTGTATAAGTAAGAAAATTGTTATATTGTTTCTTGCTAGTTGTAAGAAATGAAAGAGAAGAGTATAGTTTTGTGTTTTTTAAGAATATATAAGAAGTGTTTTTTTGGTAAGTTTTGAAAACTAAATTTTTGATAACCAGGATTTAATTTGGCAATGCCAATATTATAAAGAAGTAAGAAAATATTAAAGGTATATTTGATATTAAATATGTTAACTTTTTAAATTATATTAATACAAGTAAGCAGGTTAAAAGTAAGTGGGTTAGTAAGTAAAATATTAGTTTTTTTTGCTAGAAAGAGTATTTTTTTTGTTTGTATAGATAGTAGTCAAAAGAGTTTGTTTGTATACTTTTTTGAATAAGTATAATTTGTAAAAGGTATTTTAGAGAGAGTTGGAGTATAAAATTAAAAAAAGAAGAAATTTGAAAAAGTAATAACTTTTTATATTTAATAAAAAGTAAAAAAATTTTAATTTTGTTATATAGTATATCAAGAGTTGGTTTAGTTGATTTTTTGCTATTATAGAAGATACTTAAATATCTGATTATTTTTTTAGGTTTTTTTTGAAAATAATTATTTGATTGTTATAAAGGATTGTGTGATTTGATGTTTTAGAGTTTTTAAAGATAATATAAAGAAGATTAGATTTGGTTAGATTAGCTTCAATATTATTGAGTTTGTACAGAGCAGAAGCATTGTTGAAAATATTTTGTAAAGTTTTTAGATTTTTACAATACCACACTGTATTATTTATATAAGCTAGTAGTAGAATTGTAATAGGAATTGAGGTTGTATTTAAAATTGTGTTGAGTAAGAAAAGAGTAAAAATTTTGAGAAAATAGTTAATGTATTTTTGAGATATATAGGTAAAAATAGAATTATAATCTATTTTCTATAGAAGAGGAGAATAGGTTTCTCCTTGTTTAATGCCAGATTTAATTTGAATTGGTAGTGTTAAACTATAAACTATAATTACTTTGGCTAATTAAGAAGTGTATAATTTAGTTATTAAGTTAATTCCAAGAGCAAAAATATCTATTTGTAGCAAATATCTTGTAAGTATTTAATATTGATTTTGTCAAAAGCTTTGGATATATCCTAAAACAATATCTATATCTTCTTGTTATAGAAAATATAGTGTTTAATAGTATTATATAGAATTTGGATTAGAGTATATGTTAAGGAGTTTTTAGATATTGTGAAGTTTAAATAAGAGAGAAAGTTGTTTGATGAGATTATTTTGTCTAGTTGGTTGCTAAAGATTTTGATAAAGATTTTTTTAAAAGGTTTAATAATAAATATAAGTTAAACTTAATTTAGTGTAAAATCCTAGTTAGATTTTTTTGAAATAAGAAAAATATTAGAAAATTTCTATTCTGTTGGGGTTTTTTGTAATTCAAAGCATTTATTGATAAAGAATTTGAGAATGTTTTGTACTAGAAGGCTAGCATATTTAATATGTTCATAACAGATTTCTAAAAACCTTGCTACTTTTTAGTTTAGAAGATTAAAGATTGTTTTAGCTGGTTTGGCTCACTTCATTAATGCTCATTTTATAGAAATAATATTTCACTGATAACAATTCACTAATATGTTATTTTGCTAATATTTATTTTCTATTTTACCAACAGTTTATTTTACCAAAATGTATTTCATTGATAAAATAATTCTGGTCATTGTTATTAGAATCAGGTTAGAATAGTGTTCGGCACAATCAAACAAAAATTTGACAGTCAAGTACTTGTTAATACTTATGCTTAAATCGAATTTCAAATGATTGCAGATTAACCCAAACTAAATATATACTATTGGTTAATCTGCAATCATTTGATATCTGACTTAATCACAAATATTAACAAGTATTTGACTGTCAAATTTTTGTTTGATTGTGCTGAGCACTAGATTAGAATTAGAATTAAGGTTAGTAGAATTTATAAAAAAAATTTGTCTATAAAATAATCTTTTGTGAAATAAATTGTCAGTAAAATAAACTTTTCTGTGAAAAAATATTGGTAAATTTTTATCAGTAAAATGTTATATTTACAAAATGAGTATTGTAAAGTAATATATATCTATTTTAGCCTATTTCTAATTTGTAACTGTTTTGAATAGTTTACTATAGTTAGATTCAAGTTCTAGATGTAGTTGGTAAAGTTAGTCAAAGTTAAAAAGAATTGGATATAAAGGTTTTTCTGAAAAGTATTCTGTGAAATAACTATATATTTGGTTTAAAATTTCATTGTATTCTGTAAGTAGAGTATTATTAAGTAAAAGATAATCAATATTAATATTATTGTATTTTTTAAATATATTTTATAGAATAGTTTAGGTGTTTTTGTAAAAATTTTGTCATAGTTTTCTATTTTTTGTTTAATTTTATTATATATAGTCAGACCTTTCTAAATGTATAGCATTAGACAGCCAAAAAATCTTGTATTTAGAGAGGTATTGTATTTAGAGAGGCAAAAATCTATAAGTGTTATATGAGTTGAGACCATGCAAAGTTATGCATTTAGACTATACATTTAAAAAATATGCATTTAGGGAGGTCTGACTATAGATTTTGTTAATATTAATAGTTAAAAGAGGATTTAATAAGCTAAAATTTATTTTTGACTTGGAAGTAAGTTGGATATTTAGTTTAATTGATAATCCGCCAGTCAACAGAAGAATAAATATCCCTTAAACCATTTGAAATTCAGGGCAAATTTGCCCTGAAATTTTCTGAATTATATATATTATAACCGTGTATACAAAATAATAGCAAACATGATATTATCTTTATACCACAATATAAAAATCAATATAAAAATAATATTTATTTTATTATTTATGTTCATGATACTCAATAAAACAATCTGGATGTTGTATATTGAGACATAAAGGCATATTACATACTGTGCACCACACCTGACTCTGTGGTGAATTTTTATTGTGTTTTTCTTGTTTAGGCATATTTTTAAACCGGCACTAAACACAGGAACCCCTCTCTTTCTCAGAACGATATACTGGGTAGTGACTTCGTGGGTGTAATCGTTCAATGGGTAAGTCAAATTTTTTTGTAACATAAAATGATCTTTGTAAATCTTGATTCTCCTGTAATCCTGACTGAATCATTGCTATTTTTTTCCATGTATGTAAATTTTGACCCATTTCAAGTGATTCTTCCACCAAATTCCATACTAAATTTATCTGAAAATCTTTATATACTGTTACCAAATTAAGCTTTTTGGAAATTAGAAAAGTATTAACGATGCTAGTATCCAGGAGCCAAAAAAATAATGGCATCCAGGTGCGACGTACAGGAACTTGTACACCATAATAGCCTCTTAATTGGTCGGCTATGTCAACACCACCCATATGATAGTTGTAATCATCTATTACAGCAGGTATGGGAAGAACTTTCTTACTTGCATTACCAAATATACCATGTACTTTTACAGCATTTGTACTAGTTGTTCGTGGCCTTCTTCTTTCCCTTTCTACTCGATTTTTATCACCTAAAATTTCATGTATGGTTGTTAACATTGTTACTGGCTCGTTATCCATCCAAAACACAACCAAAACATCGTTGACAACAGCGCCAGAAAGAGTATCCCATTCTAATTTCTGCGATTTTTTTATTTTTAAGCAAGTAAGAAACTTTGATGTATTTGTTCTTACTGTTCCACAACTATCATACCCATTTTTTCGCATATGACTAAATAAATTAATACTCGTAAAAAAATTATCCATATAAATATCGTATGCTTTGTTATTTGGAAGTTGAGATATCAAATGATAAACTTGCCACCCGATTTTATTAACATTCGGAATTAAATTAATTTCAGAATTAGATTCTACAGATTCAATATGAGAAGTAAAAACAAAACAATACGTATATCCTGAATCACAAAGCGAAAGTATTTTGTATCTTTCTGGTGTAGGTTTATTTTTGATTCGCACTGTATGACTACTTCTCCCTCGAAATCTGGCAACCATTTCATCGATTGAAACTTGCGATTTTGGTAAATATATCAATTTAGAAACTTTTAAGATATGCGTAGATAAAGGCTCAATTTTAGAATACCACAGTAATTGAGATGATTTTGTTTCAATATTTGCGATATGAAGATATCGCTTTATCTTTATTTTTTTAAAAAATAAAATAAGCATAAATTCAAATAAAATTATTAGGGCAAACCATATTAATAATTCTTCGATCGTTAAAGAAATCCATTCACGTCCTTTACCAGCCGATTTTGCAATTGCATAATAATTTGTATTTTTAACAATAGTAGTTAATTGTAGATCAGAAAAAAATAAACGAAAAATCGAATATGGAGTAATTTCACCAACAGTTAATTTGTCAGCTACTTTTACTTGAGAAG